AGTATATATACCTTTTCAGATGTTAAATCTTTTGAAGGTTATTTTAGAAGGGATGTGAAGTGACTAGTTTATTTCAGATTTAGTGAAGAGTAATTTGTCAGTAATCTCAAAAATCCAAGCCAGGAGAGGATCATTTTCTTTCTTTTTTCTCCACGTGCTCATTTTCTTCTGAAGGATACGTTTCACAAACTTCTAACACAGGTTTGTGAACTGTCAACTAAAGACACCACCTCTGATGTGGATGGTTTCATTCAATCCATGTTCTACCAACTTTATAACTTCTAGATCATCTTTTATAATGCTAATCAAGTGGCTAAGGCCTTCCTGTTGTTGTTTCAAATGCTGTTTGATCTCATGTAACAGATCTGCATCCATGTAATATCTTTCTTCAGATTTGACTGCTCCAAAATGGTTCTGCATCCTGATTTGGGATATCAGTTCATTTAGTCGGCCTTTGAACTGAGTAGGTGCATTTAATTCACACTGAATTGTATCTAGCTGAACTCGCAACTGCTCTCCGTCAGCTTGGATGGCATAACCACTCTTCCTTTGAATTTCCTGTTTGATTAGGACCTGTAAGGTTCTATGGGAAAGATCCATGAGTTTCTCTTGTATTGTGCAATTTTGGTCATGCTTGTAATTTGATTGTTTTGTAGGTCATAATATCTTCAGATATGATATCTAATCTGATCTGATGCTTCTTAGTCATCTGATCTTGAACTTTCAGTCTTCAGAGAAGTTCTTCAAAGCCCACCATGGGTACAGGAATTAACTTTTCAGAATCAGGGTTATCCACCTTGGGTTGTTCCCAAATAATAGGATCAACACCAGCAGGAGGATTCTGTGAAAGCTGCTTGATCTGCGCAGGAGAAAGTTCTGGTCTAGTCATAGAAAGGGTTACACCAAGTTGCTGTAGCTGTGTTTTTATATTGGCTTGTTCAAAATGGGCATATAGTGTTGTAGCTGGAACTCTTCTTGAGGTACCATTTGGAGAATGCTCAACAATATAAATAACAACTTCTGTCCTTAAACCAGCAAAAGGGAATTTCTTGTGTGAATTCCACTGGTGGAATATTATTGTTGAAATATCCTTTGCCTGTTCCCCAGAAAGCCTGCAGTTGATTCCATGTTGCTAAAATAGCATCTCTCTCATCTCCCACAGTGTTGGAGCAGAAAGAGCACTCGCAGTAGTTATCAGCTGGTTAGACTGGGTAGGAGCTTGTGTAGGCTGACTGAAGAGACCACCTAATGCAGTAGTGTTTGTGTTAGTGGGGGCAGAAAACCTGAATACAGAACTTGCAGTTGTAGATGTTGTCCCAAATCCTCCAAACCCACCCGCAGGTGCTGCAGTGGCTGCAGCAGTGCCTGAGGTACCTGAGGGAGTCTCAAAATTGAAGGCCAGGTCACAGGAGCAGAGGACCAAAGCACTGCTCCTGCAACGCGACCTGATACTTCTTTTCTTTTTTTTTGGTACCGGGGATCGAACTCTGGTCCTTGCGCTTGCACAGTAGGCGGTGAAACCACTGAGCTAAATCCCCGGCCCCAACCTGATACTTCTTGATTTGAGTGTTTCATCAATTTATGATAAGAAAATTTAAATCTTCAATTTTTTTTTTTTTTTTGGTACCAGGGATCGAACTCGGGACCTTGTGCTTGTGAAGCAGGCGCCGGAACCACTGAGCTGGGTCTCCGGCCCAAATCTTCCATTTTTTAACCAATTTTTCTGAAATTCCATTTTATATACATACCACCTTTTTTTTTCTTTACTTTTTTCTTTACTTTTTATGCCTTAAGGTTTTATCATGAGAGAAACCATATGATATTAAAACTTGAGTATTTGATTATATCTTATGTCACTTTCGTTCCTATAATCTTCTATTTCTGCTAAATTTTGAGTTATGTATTATCTACTGTGCCATTTTAATTATTTTTATAATTGCTTTACACTACTTTTAAGTTATTTTCTATATTGGTGTTCTGGGGATTATAATGATAATTTTAAAATAATATAAAATAATATACTTTGGATTAATTCTAATTAAATTTTGATTGTATAAAAATTTGCTTTACTATTCTCCATTCATTCTCTTGTGTTAGTTTTTTTTTTTCTTTTTCTTTTTCTTTTTTTTTTGAGACAGGGTCTCAGTATGTAGTTCAAACGGGCCTTGAACTCACTATGTATTTCATGCTTACCTCAAACTCCAGGCAATTCTCCTGCCTTAGCCTCCCGAATGCTGACATTATAGGGGTGCTCCACCACACTTGGCAATGTTACTATTTTCATATCTAATATATTTTTATACATTTTAAACCTATCAACATAGAATTATTGATTTTTTGGTTTTCTTTTAAATTAAATAGTAGAGAAACAATTACAAAGAGCATATACTTATGTTGTATATTCTATTTAGCTACGTAGTCATCTTTATTAGTGTTCTTTTCCTTCTAATGTATTTGAGTTCTCTAAATGTACATTTACTTTATTGATGGACTCCTCTAGTATTCTTTGCAGAGAAGATCTTCTAGAGACAAATCCACTCAGTTTTGGTTTTTCTTGGAATATTTGAATTCCTCTTTTACTATTGAAGCATAGTTTTGTCATACATAAAATTCGTGGTAGACAGGCTTTTTCTTTCAGCATTTAAAAAATACCATCTCATGTCTTCCAGTCTCCATATTTTCTTATGAAAAAAAGTGTTGTTAAACTCACTGAAAATCTCTTTTATGTTTTTAAACACATTTTATTCTTTACTGACAGTTCTGTATTTTTCTTTGCCTTTCCAATATTTCA